TTGCTGCAGATGAGAAAACCTCACATAGAAGCCCTCGAGCTAAAGGTGTGGCTGTTTGATGTGGAGTTTTTCCAGCACGCCTTCTGCATGATTTGGACATCCAGGTGGGGGGAGAGGCTGTCATACCATTAAGGTGGATGCAAGTTAGCCAGAGACAGCACATACAGTACCAAGATCACAGCACGTCTGTAGCATCTATTAGTCTTTCAAGTGCTTTAGCAGCAGCACTGAGCTCCTTTACTGTCTCTGGACCTGCAGGCTGTGAGATCACAAAGACCCTATAATGAGGAAGATTAGGTGAGATGGACCCTTCTCTATCTCCCTGTGAAACAGGACTCCTTCTGTAACCTTCAGCATTAATCTGCCAGAATAATTCGAGACCAAACACACCACACACACCATCCATTTGGGATCAAACAGAGCTGAAATAAAGGGCTCCTCTGTGCAGAAGCGACTGCTGCTGTTCCTTCACTCCACAGACCCTGTATAACCCCACGCTACATTTCCTTGTCGACGGAGCGTTTCTCCAGCTTTTGGTCACTGGGGGTCAGAGGCAGTTTGACTGAAAAGGACTGGAAATCCCATTTCTGTCTGTTTGCCTCTGATCTGAGACCAAAACTAACTCCGCCGTCAGCACTGGGAATATCTCCCCGACAGCCGGGACAAACTAATGTGACCATCCTGGAAATCCAGTTATCTCTGTGAGGAGAGGATGAGGGTTGCGGAGGAGTGATCGCTAGTTATGTCATCGCTCACACTTTTTTTTTTCAAGCAACTTCGCCTCAGAAACTGCTCACCCACATGTGAGACCGTCATCACGCTGCAGAGCTTCTGAGGTCAAGTGCTTCTGATTGAACGTGACACCCAGTTATTCCATCTTCTTTACTTCACGAGGGCGCACTAGCAGCAGAAAAAAAGGAGTTCCCCTTCTGTTGTCGGTTAAAAAGTGAAATGTCTTTTGTTTAACACTGCATTTAAATCTCTCGCTGTCATCACAAAAGACTCAGCGCACATGTCAAGAGAGCTTTTTTTTGTGCGTTACATGCATCGTTTCATCACTCAACAGTCCTCATTGGCTCGTTCTCCCATTTTGGCACAACATAGCAAGTGGCTCTGTTCTCTGGTGGTTACGTTTTTCTTATTGCCCATAAAGTGGCATTCTACCAATAGGCTCATTTGTTTTTGATGGCTTGAATCAACACACATCGTTTTTTAGGCTGAAGTCAGTGATAAATGATATGTGGCAGTCATATCCAATTTGTCGCAAGGTTGCAGGAAGTCAGTGTTTCCTCAACAATGTCATTCTTGTAAAGAATAACAGGAAACAACACATCACTAAAATTCTCTGGCATTGTTGTTGTTGCTCTGGTCATCGTTGACCCTGTTACAAAAGGCTGAGGCCACGCGACTGGTGAAATGGTGAAAGGACAATGTGAGGACAACTCCATTGTCATGTAAAGTCTCATCGTGAAATAAAAATTGACTTTTGAAAGCAGTATTTTGAAATGAAAAAAAAAATCTATAATTATATAAAAACGAATAACAACTCATAATAAGGGTTTAAACCTGGAATTAAAAAAATGTTTTTGTGGTCACTTGGGAAACAAGTTTTGAAAGCGCAACACTGACATGTCATTGTTCAAAAATGAACTTTAGCAAACAGTTGCCTAATTACAGCAGATGCAGAGCAATGTTAGCATTCATTTGGAGTCGTGTTTGTGTCCACCTGATAAGTCCAATACCCACTCTCCTTTTAGCTCCGTTTTATGGTCTCCACCAACTCCTTTAGCCACTAAGTGCTCCACTGTGTTCACCAGTTGGTCACTATTGTGTCAGTGTGCATTCAACAGACAATGTACAGTGGACTTTTAGAGCTTTTTTCGCTGACAGCTGCTGCCTCCTGCAACCAAAAACAACACTATGAAAGCAGTGGAAAACTGTAAAGTTGCAGCCAAACAGCAAAAAAATTATCTGAAACTCACTATAAGGCTCCGTAAAACTGAGGAGAGTTTCAGATTCAGGTCATAGTTCTCCAAAAGTTCAACACTAGAACATTGTTTTCACATTTACACATGATACATTACTATTATCAATTATAGCCACTTTAAGTTTTCATAAGAACATTATTATTATTATATTATTATTAATATATGTGTTTTAGGGATACTGTTTTAAGTTTGGTTGGTGTTTAGATGCATTTGATATTAATTTTTCCAGTAAAATGATGAGTTATCCTTTATATCTGTGCAAGTTTTTTTTCGAAGGTCTAATGCCATCAGGAATAAAAGTTCAAAAATCACGGCTGTTGACATAAGATGCAGGATCATGTTCAGTGAGCAACGCCACAAGAGAGGGTTTGAGGTCCACCCCAGCAGATTGTCCTGACCTGAAGGAAAAAGCTCAAAGGCAGCAGGGATATTACTCTTCATGGTAGATAAATCCAAATCACGCAGTCAGATAAATGGCACTGGAAAGCAAAACAGGTCTATCTTTTTCCTTTTACGTTTTATTGTGCTGAACTGTCCAGAAAATGTTTCATGGATCCCTGAGGCAAGTCTGTGTGACTGTAAACCATAAATTTATGAGGAACAGAAGAAGAAGTCGTCTCTTCCACATACATGTACATTGAGCCTCTAGAGCAGGAAAACTGTGCTCTGTTCAGTTTTTTTTTTTTTACTAACACCAACCAATTGGATGTGGAAAAACATTAATATCACCAGAGGGAAAAGGTGTGTATTGTTTCTGAATTCTTGCTTCTTTTTAATTTTCTGACAGCATAATCTCATTCATGTTTTTCAGTAACCACCAGCCAATGAATCATCTGCTTCACAGTGAGAAATGAGATGCCAGGCAGTATTTACACAAAACAACTCAACAGGAGGGCTCTGTCTTGGAAGCAGGATACTGTACTGTAGTATATGTGTGTGTACCTGCAGTTAGTCTCTGTCAGTGGCTTTGATTTAGCATTGCAGAGAGTGGTTGACCTGAGGGACTCTGTCCAATCCATAGCAACCATCTCTCCACACCTGGGAAACACATCGGGCGAGGCTGCTCTCGCTCCATTGTAACCGACTAATAGTTCCATGTACATTTCCAGATGTGGTATTCAATTTCAGAGATCAACCTGTCTGACACACGCCAAAGCTAAGTATGAAAACAAAACAAAAGTTATATTTTTAAAAGTGAACTGAAGGGCCAATCTTTCAAACTATTCACTGCTTATTTTTTTAAACAGTTTCTTCTTTCTAAACTCTTAATTTGTAATTTCTTATTTAAGGAGGTTATTTTACCACTATATTCACTGTAGAAGCTAAACCATGTGACTGTAAACTTCAATATGACGGACTGTGTGTGTCCCGTCTCGCTGAGGCAGTGACACTGTGCAGAGGCAGAGCTCCTGTGTGGGTCTCAGAGTTAAGGCAAGTGCAATAGAGTAAATGGGATAATCAGGGTTTACAGATCTGGGTGGCTGCAGTGACGCAGGGCTTTACGCTGCTTAATGGTGTCAGTGACACCTGCCCCACTCTGCCATAGCCTCTGCGTGTACCTGACCCCTCTGGCCTGCTTTCGTCTGACCCCTGACCCCCCTATGCCCCGCGACAAGCTGCCTAGACAAGGAACTGTCTTGTGCTTGGAAATCTTATTATCATCACATTTGATATTTCTGAATAGGATTCCTTGTGAAAAACTGATCCCATATACTGTAGATTAATAAGGATCCTGCAGTTTTTCAAAGTTTACAATTTACTTAATTAGTGATTTAATGTATATGTTAAGTTGTGTGCAGGTGTTTCTACAGTTTAGAGGGCAAACTTATTTTCAACACAGGTCATCTGAAGCTGAGGGTAACCTATCAGTGAGAGGCTGCTGACCCCGACCGGAAGGCGTTAGCAGTCCGGGTGTAACAGACTTAGGAGATTTCAGAGAAAATATTTCCTGTCTGCTTTAAACAGCACAAGCCCCAGCTCCTAGAGCACTACTGGAGTTGGTACAAGTTGAATGTATATTATAGTGCTTTAATGTGGCGCTTTAAAGGTAATAGTCCCTGAAAACCACTGTATTAGTTCATTTCAGGACCTAAATCGGCCCACAGAGGGCGACATGGCAACGTGAAGTGAGCTGAAGAGCTCATCAGTTAAAGTTTACAGATTGGAAAATACTTTTATATTTATTTATATTTATATTTTTTTCTTTTTTGTGTCTCTATATTTTATTTTTTGTTATAGAGGGGTGATTACAACCACAGGAAATATGTTGGCACTTGAATGAATTTATGTGCACCAAATAGGCTAGGATTTTGAGTAATATTATTTATTGTTATATTTAAACTTCAGGGTCTTCAGATTAAAAGCACTGTACAAAAAAAATAAAAATAAAATTAAAAAAAATATATATATACACATATACATATCATGGAGGTGTAGCTGGTACATTGAGTCTTAGAGTGTGATCATGTTGAGCAGGTTTTCGGTGAGCAGCAGACTGTCAGAGGGGGCGGGGTTGAAGCACAGCTGACATCTTCAGACCACCGACCTGACTTGCAGAAGGATAGTGCGGGTCAAGTGGGCAGGTAACGGTTAACTTCTCCGCAAGTGAAAGAAATACGTTAAACTACACAGAGCTAGGAAACGCAGGCAGGATTTCCTGAGCTCAAACAAGTTGCATTAACTGGGATTATTACTTGGCAGCGGGAGGAAAGAAATTAAAAAATATGTAGGAGCTGCGCGTATAAATCCACAAGATTCCTGTGAGGGGCAGATCGTCGGAGGGAGGATTGAACCAAAGTGCGACTTGAGGAGCAGCTTATTCATGCAAATTCATAAAATCATAGGCGTGCCTTTGGGCGATGGAGTCACAGCCGGAAAAACAAACCCCCTCCTGGATCATCAGCGACCTTCAAAGACTGTGATGCGCAGCGCTCGGACGCATTGACAGCGGCACCGGGGCAAATGTTTTAAAAGCTCAGAGAAAAGAGAAGAGAAAGTTAGGGCTCGTTTTTCTGCACGCTCGTGTTGACTGGCTGCACTTCTTCCTCAAAACAACCACCAGCTCGACAGCTGCGCCACTGGACCTCCAACCACAGGCTTTACTGAGCGAACTGTAACGCACTGCCGCGACTATCACTGTTTGCCTTGGTTATTTCATAGTTGTTGTTTTTTTTTACATTTATATATATATTTGTTTACAGTCAATACAGGCGATTTCAGATACTGCGATTCCTCATGCGGATGTAGTGGCCGCCCTACTTTATTGAATTTGTGCGTAAAGACGCCACCACTGATTTGTTCCTTTTTTTTTGAGAAAAAACGATTTAATTTTTAATTTTATTTAAATCGCGGTGGACTTTTCTCGCAGCACCATGTCAGAAGAGGACAGTAGCTCCACCACCAGCTATATGTCTGACACAGAAGGCAGCAACGTTAGCGTCCTCAACTGGGAGCAAGTGCAGCGGCTGGACGCCATCCTGACGGAGACCATCCCGATTCACGGCCGCGGAAACTTCCCCACTCTGGAGATGCAGCCGCGGCAGATCGTCAAAGTGGTGCGCAGTCGGATGGAGGAGAAACAGATCCACGTCCGGGACGTTCGGTTAAACGGCTCTGCAGCCAGCCACATCCTGCACGGGGACAGCGGACTGGGCTATAAGGACCTTGACCTCATATTTTGCGCAGATATGAAAGGTGAAAGTGATTTCCAGACTGTGAAGGACATAGTTTTGGACTGTCTCCTGGATTTTTTACCGGACTGTGTGAATAAAGAGAAAATAACCCCGTTAACGTTAAAGGTACATCCACCCCCAACTTTGTGCTTTTTTTCTGCTTCAGTTGTTAACTTTTAGATATGTGATAACATTTAATTGCATTTGTGCCAATTCGCCTTAATGACCATTATGTGTAGCTCAATGTGCAATTAGATTAGTTTAGTGATAGTAAAAAGTTGGTTTTCTGTAGTTAAGAGGATTGAGTTAACCCAATTTGAAGGGATCCTGAGCTCAGCCACCTAGATACCATATCCAAGTACATTCTATGCTCTTTACTATTGGGGTCAATAGTATTAATAACACAATATATATATATATATATATATATATATATATAGATATAGAAAAATGGTCATTAGATATAAAACCTAGTTGCATAATGAAAAATTAAGCATAAATGTGCAAATTAATTATTGTACCTTTAAGGCTGTCTACTTAACGTTTATGCTCTCTCTCTCTGTCCCTCTCTCTCTCCCCCTCCGCTTCATATTTATGCCTCAAACACACATAGGAGGCCTATGTGCAGAAGATGGTGAAGGTGTGTAATGACTCAGACCGCTGGAGCCTCATCTCCCTCTCCAACAACCGGGGGAAGAATGTGGAGCTGAAGTTTGTGGACTCTCTCCGGCGGCAGTTTGAGTTCAGTGTGGACTCCTTTCAGATCAAACTGGACTCCCTGCTGCTGTTCTACGAGTGCTCAGAGAACCCCATGGCCGAGACCTTCCACCCTACCATCATGGGAGAGAGCGTATATGGGGACTTCGGCGAGGCCCTGGACCACCTACGTCACAAGATCATCTGCACCCGCAACCCGGAGGAGATCCGAGGCGGGGGCCTGCTGAAGTACTGTCACCTGCTGGTGAGGGGTTTCCGTGCTGCCTCTGAGTCAGAGATGAAGTCCCTGCAGCGCTACATGTGCTCACGGTTCTTCATTGACTTCCCTGACATCGGTGAGCAGCAGCGCAAGCTGGAGTCATACCTTCAAAACCACTTTGTGGGCCTGGAGGACCGCAAGTACGACTACCTGATGACCCTCCACGGGGTGGTCAACGAGAGTACGGTGTGTCTGATGGGACACGAGAGGCGGCAGACCTTAGGGCTGATAGCCATGCTGGCAGTGCGAGTGCTTGCCGAGCAGAACGTCATTCCCAACGTGGCTAATGTTACATGTTACTACCAACCTGCTCCTTATGTGGCAGATGGCAACTTCAGTAACTACTACATAGCACAGGTACAGCCGGTGTTTGCTTGCCAGCAGCCTGCGTACTCCACCTGGCTTCCCTGTAACTGAGACAGCCCTGAGGAGAGGAGGAGGGAGAGAGTGTGATTTGTTTAAACAGGATCAAGCAGCATATTCGCTGCCTCAAACCTGCCCAGTGTTTGACAGCTGACAGAAAAAGGAGTCATCTTTTTAATGTTTTGCATCAAAGCTTGTGTTTTTGTTCATACGTTGAGTATGAATGCTAAATAAAGAACAGTTGGCTTTCGATTCAAGTACGTATTTCAATGTGAATATCTCACATTTCTTGAAACACAGACATCACCTGATCCTACCCAGGCCAATTAGGTCTGGAAAGGACTAATTTGGGTAGCTCGGAAGTAATGGCTAAATGCAAATATGTGACAGCCTTTAATGAAAGCAGCAGAACTGTCATCGAGACTGATTGGATCTGTCGAGAACTGATTAGCCGGCAGGTTCCATCAGCAAAGCAAACGGCTGCATCAGTGTCCTGAAGTTGACAGCTACTCCAGCCCAGCTTTCAGGGGTATCTTTCTCAGTGCCCACACACACACACACACACACACACACACACACACACACACACACACACACACACACACACACACACACACACATATGCTCTGGGTGAAATCAGAGGTGTGTGCAGGGCTCCAAAACGAGCACCCAGACTCTGCTCAGATCAGCTGAGGTGAGATGCTGTTAAATTAGTTTGGATAACAAACTGGTATCTCTGCCTTGCATTTGGATATAATTATGGTTGTTTACAGACCAAAGATTTTTTTTGATTGTTTCTAACATTAAAACCCAATTTTGGTGGGGGGAAAAAAATTTAACAAAATATGAAGCTATGTCTATTTGTATATGTGAATATATGTGTGTTTATAAGTGCCTATTGCCTCTCGGCGGGCAGAGAAATCAGTGAGCAGGCCAAATGACTTTTGTGAATTAACCCCACTCTATTTATAGTCAGGCACACAAGACAATAGCACCCCAGAGGCTTGTGAATGTATACGTGAAATCATGCGCAGTCAGTGTTTGTGTTACGTTTGGATGCAAAAAAATAAAAAATAAAAAATAAAAAAAAGCACCATGCAGTAAAGTAGCAGTCAAATGTGCGATTGAGGGGTTGTTGCAAGATTCACATTTCTCGTGTGGATATTTGGAAACTCCAGATTTTATCTTATCTCTGAGTGATGCAAACATGTCCCCAACTTAATACTGGTATTGTTCAGCTGTTTTGACAAGAGGTTGGTCAAGCATTTTCAGATCATCAGCAACAAAAGAAAACTTACACACACGCACGCACGCGCGCGCACACACACACACACACACACACACACACACACACACACACAGTATTTCCTGTATATTTTGTACAGTGGTGCTTCTTTTTTTTCTCATCTGAGAAAAAAACAACAACATAAAAACAAGTTGACAAAATGATAGATAAGAGACAGAGAGAGGAAGGACTGCCGTCTGACAGAGAGCTGGTGTGTGTGTGTTCCTATGCTTCCTCCTGCAGTTGAAGGATATTTGCCGAGACACCTCAGATGATGAGACACTATTTGCTGTAGCACCCTGGCAGGGAATTCCTCAGCTGCTGCTGAAGAGCTTGAGTTTAGCTGGGGTTGGGTCTGCAGACGCTCTGTTCAGGGTTCAGAAAAATGTTGTGCCAAACATTTTGGTGGCCCCGCTGATAGCCCTAAAGTTTAATGAGCCATTTGTTGATGTAGACAAAGCTGCCGCGCTATAGAAAACGAGAGAGAGAGAGACAGGAGAGTGGAAAAAAAAAATGAGAAAAAGGGGAATGCAGTGGTTAAAAGGCAGGAGGGAAAGTGAGTCAGTCTGGAGAGATGGGTGCAGCTGGTGATGGGGTTTATCTCTCTAGGGCTACCATGCTTTACTGTACAAACTGTTTCTGTTAAGATCTCGATTACAACTTAATGGACAGTGCTGCAGCTTTTCCCTTTTTTTCAGGGAGACCAAAATATTCAGTTATCAGCATTTGCTCTCTGTTTTAATAATCTGATTGTTGTTTAAAAAGGGTGAAAACTGAATAAAATTGAATGCATTCACACCAGCTTCAAGCAACTTTAGGTTGCAACTTATTTGTCATTTGTAATGTTGCTTTAATGATGCCCATTGATGGTTATTATGCTTCAATCCACATCCGTTTTAAAGAACTGTATATATATGATTACATGCCTCAGCTTTGCCAACACTCTATCTTTGCAAACTATCCTGTAGCCTTTTCCTTAATGGCAAAAATGCTGATTTTAAGCATAAAGACGTGGGTTAGGCCCCACAACCAGCATCGACTCAACTCTGTGACACAAGGAGAAATTCTCTCGCTGAAAAAGCATTTCTCTCTCGCCCTCTGTCTGGCGATCCATACCTGCTCTGTTCAGTCGTTTCTCCTTTTCAATGACTGTCCACGTCGACGGTATCATTTGGATTGTGCAGGCAATGTATTGTCACTTGATACTCAGTGAAGTCCTAACAGCTGACTAGCTAGCTAGCTCCAGTCTGCCTGTCAGTTAGTGATTGTGCCTGTCAGTTAGAGATTGTGGGTTACTGCATTGTCTTGTATGAGTTGTCTCAAATATCTGTTTCTGTTCATGCAGTCTTTTACAAATCACACTTTGAAAAAGAAAAGAAAAAGATCTTTGTCTTGTATGTATATTTTTTATGATTGTTATTTTTATAAATGTATCAGACACTGCAGTTGTTGCAGTGCTTTTGAATCTGTGATTGGGCTTCAAAGGATATGTTCTCAATAGCTTTTTTGCTATATTATGTTATGTGTCCAATGGGTCAAAAGGTTAAAGATGTTTTCATCAATAAAATATCTGAAAACCAGATTTGCAATGTCTGTCGTTATTCATCCGAGCCTAAATCAAGTTTACTGCGCAGCTTTCCTCCAGACACAAACCCTCTGCCAAACATGAGAAATTGCTCATTTGTCTTTTAACTTCAGATTTCTTCTTTCAAAGGAGAATCAGAGAGTCTCTTTGCACTGACGTAAGCCATTCAGTGGCTTTCACATGGGTTCCCCGCTCACTCGCTCAGAGAGGCAAATCCCTGCCATGGCCTGCCGGGCCCATCAGGCCCAGCCAGAAACCCGTCCAGAACTGGCCCGCTGCTGCCAGAAAGAGCTGTTGTTGAATGTGAGGGGATTTGCATCCACCCAAAAAAGAGACTTTAACGCTTTTGTACAATGAATATCTTTGCCTGCTCATCAAATTCTCTCTGTCAACAGCCCCCACCACCCCCACCACCCCCCACCCCATACACAGACAGCAATGCAGTAATCATCAGTGCTAAGGCCTGCACAGACCAGAGTCCAACTGTCTCATGGTTGTCAGGCTGAAATAAAACTCACCACAACAAAGCTGACTGTCACACAGGTCACATGATGAAGTTGTCCTAGATACACAGGGATATGGAGAAGGAAAACACTGAATGAGTCAGAGATCCCCTGCATGACACAGTGCTATAAATGACAGAGATGATAAGAACATTATCACTTTCACTTAAGCGCATTTACGACTCATTAATCTGAGGGAATGATTGACAGGTTGAGGCTGAACGGTAATGCTCATACAGACACACATACACAATCAGCAGTTTTATTTTGGCATTTTTTATTCCTGACATCAAATGGCCTAAACTTAAATGGTGGGTTGGGCCTTTTAAAACAATAGTTGCACATGTGGACATTTAAAGAGTGTGAATTTTGTATAAGAAATACTCAGTTGGATTTAGTCAAATGCAGTGGCTATCCTCTGCATTTGACTAACTTGCACTGCCGAGGCCCCATATGATTTTCAGCTGAACTATGGAATGTGTTTTTGCACAGAACAAGAACGGTGGATTTTAATCCCCATGACTTACATTGAAATCACTTTAGAAAGGGATCTAGTTTTGGCTGGTATGAACAGGAGCAGCAACTGTAGCAACCAACACCACCTTCAGTGTCCATATGGGTATAAGAGTACTGTCACATTATTACAACACAGGTATGTGAAATTAAAATCTTTACTATCTTATAATGTTTTAGGTGAGAGAATGTTCTCACCCATGTAACCTTAGTTATTGTACACATGTGGGTTGTTCTGATTATAAGTTTACCATATTAATTTGTGCTGTATATTAAGTGGTGCAACATTATTATATTAATTAATATTACTTCATTGAGTCTATCATATAATGTTGTGTGATCGAGGTTCCATCCCTGGTAGCACTGAGCATTAATAATGTTATGTACCATATTGGATTGTGACAGCTTTATGGAAACCCTTACTCCATCAGACCTGCTTTTATTCAGCCTCAGGGTGGGTTCATATTTTTTAATTATCTGATACAACTTTTAGCTTTAAAGCTGCAACAACCAATGTTTTTGTATTAAGGATGGATTAAATAACTACGTTTAATGTAAAGGGTGAAGCTCGTAGTGACAAATTTTTATCTGACTGTTCCCCTCAGCTGTAAAAACAGTTTTAGCTTCTTTCAGCTAATTGTTTTGGTTTTAGGACCTGCAACTTCAATGTTTTGCTTCACTCTCACAGCTCTCATGTAGACAACTGTTTGCAAAATACACTTTACGCTACCTTTGGACAGACAAAGTTCAAAATTAGCTGGTGAACATAGGAAAGCAGCTACAAAACCAGGTATTTCCTTCAGGTAGAGACTGATACAGACTTAGAAAGGGAGTAAATACTGGATTTACATTCACTAGGTGGCTAAAAACATCTTTCCAAATGAATGCAAATGTTGTGTTGTATGTGTAAATTGGCAACATAGGCTAGCACGTTCTCCATTTCACTTTTATAACGTAATAATATGTCAGTTTTGCATGTACAGCTTGTTGCCCTGTTCCCAAGTGGTGGGTGTAAATGCCAGAATGGGTACTTCTCTTTAGCATCCATCTGGAACAATGATGCAGTATTTAGTACAGCAGTATTCAGGGCAACTCTTTGGCATTTGTCTCAGTCTTAATTTCAAGCATGACTTTACTTTATCCCTTCTTAAGAACCCTTCTCATTTTGGGTTTACTCTAAAGAAGCCATTTTTGATGTAACAACGGCGCCAAAGGGCCTAAATCTCTGCTCCTTAATTTGAGATGCAGCATCAGACGACATAGCCCTC